GGTGCCTGTTCCGCCTGCGTTCTGCTCCCTGCCCTGGCACCCAGCTGGTTCACAGGCAGGTTTGGGGGTACGCCGCTGTTTTGGGGGTACGGCAGTGGTCTGGGGGTGCCTCCGTGCCCTGCAAGGGAGATAACTGACTGTTCTTCTCCCCCCTGTGGCAGGGTCGCTCCACATACGTTGTCCCGACCCAACAGTACCCGGTCCAGCCCAGCGCCCCCGGTTTTTACCCTGGAGCCAGCCCCACAGAGTTCGGGACTTACGGTACAGACCGGGGGGGGTTTACTCTGCTCCTCCGGCCCCACCACTCCCCACTTGTGTTCCCCTCCAACACTCCTGACCCCTCCTCCTTTGCTCCAGAGCTGAGCACAGACCCCTCTGCCAGCTCGTTTTGCCGCCTCTGTGACTTCATGACCGGCTGTTTTTGGGGTGCAGGGGGTGTTGCCCGTCTCCCGGCTGCGCATCGTGTCCCGCTGGTCCATCCGCCCCCGCCCTTTTTCCAAATCGGGACCATTTAATGTTTAACTCTCCTGGCCGAGGGCCGGGGCAGACTTTATCCCCTGCTCCCCCCTCGCTCCCTGCCCAGCGGTTTGGCGCTTGCTGGTGCCCCCCCAGCTCCCCGGGGGTGCCGGGGCCGCTCCGTGCCTGCCCTCTCCCGGCGCTGGGAAGCTGCGGTGCTGGCAGCCCCCCCTCCTCTCCCCCCGCTCGCATGTGGCCACCCGGGCCGTGACTATATTTAGGCTTGGTCGGTCCCGGGAGGCCCTGGCAGACACAGAAATGTGAGCCGAGGCCCCCGCCGCGGCAGCAAAGCGCAACCGGGGCGGAGATGGGCTTCTCCGGGGCGGAGATGGGCTTCTCCTGAGCCAGGTACGTGCCCCTCTGCCCTCCCTCTCGTCCACGGGCCCACTGGCCCCTCAGGAGACAGAGGTGGCCCCTGGCAGCGGCTGGCCCCCACGCTGGGGCCAGGGCACAGCCACCCCTTGGTGCCTGGCAGGGGGCACCCCCCGGCTGTCCCTGCGGTGTCCGGGGACAGCTCTGTCCCCGCTGTTCCCGGCGTGCGTGCCCCTTGCCCACAGGGCTGGGTGGGTGGCCTGGCATGGTGTGTGCCCCTCGGCGGGTGAGACAGGACAGCCCTTGTGGTCCCTGGGGTGGGCAGCTCGGGGTCTCCCCGCTCCGTCCTGGGGTGCGAGACTCATCCAGTGTCCCTGCGCCACCCCCGGGCAGAGGAGGGGTCCCCACCTCGGGGATGGGGTGGCCACCAGGGCCCCGTGGGTGAGTTCCAGGCTCAGCAGGATCTGTAGGGGGCAGGGGTCGAGCTGTGCCCACCTCCCTGCTGCACCGCCCGGGGGATGATGCTCGGGGATGCCCGGGGAGGAGCGACGTGCCCGCTCGGGGTCTGTGCCAGCCCTGGACGGGCTCCAGCCCTGCCTCCGGCCCCCGCCATGGCTCCCTCCGCTGGGCTGGGGCCGTGCGGGGAGCCCCGGGCCCCTCGGCCTGGGTGCGGATGGGGCTGCCCGGTGCCGCCCTTGGGCTGGTGCCGGCCCCGGGGAGATAAGGGCAGGGGCAGGAAGGCGGCCGTGCCGGGACGCCCGCAGAGCTGGGGGGCGGCCATGGCTGTGGGTGGCGTGGGTCCGGTGGGCATGGCGGGCGCCTGCGGGGCCCGGCTGGGCGTGGGGGCGGCGCGGGGACGCTCTGCTTCACGGGGAAGGAATTCGGTCAGGCCTGTCGGGCGGGTTGGGACGATCCGGCAGGGATGCCATGGGGCTTCGCCACAGAGCGGCACGGGCTCCTCAGGCTCCTGACAGACCCCGCTGTGTTTGGGGGAGCCCGGGGAGCAGAGGGGGTGTCCCCAGGACGGGCCGGCAGGTCTGACTCTCTCTCTCCCTCTCCTCTCCAGCGGGTGCTTATTACCCGGCACAGGGGGTGCAGCAGTTCCCGGCGGGGGTCCCCACCGCCCAGGTCATTGTGAGCCAACAGCCGCCGATCCCCACAAAACGAGAGCGCAAGACGGTAAGGAGACGCC